TGTGTAAATATATCTCTTTCTAGACGAATGGGAAGGAAATGTATCGACATCCACAAAGAGACCCAGTTGCCATCTAGTAAGTGACCACAACTATCCGAGCTAGGTATTAAAAGGATATGTGTGACGTCGATCCCAAGTATGAATACAACAGTGCGACGTTTCACACCAATATGATAGTCACCGAGATCTGCCAACTACCGAGCCGACGTTCACTTGTATAAACTAGGATAAATATTCTCATCACTACCAGTATTCTCATCACTACCAGTATACCCGGGCAGGTGCATCTAGACGCATGACAGAATTGTGGACTGTTGCTCCAGATACGCCGGTGTGCCTGTAGAGGGCACAGGATATATTGAAATCGATATATGTCTAAATTCTGAATGGAGATAGGTATACATTTGTTAACTTTAAAATGAATACAAACATCAGATCGTTTCCAATTTGAATGCGATCATGCAAGTTGCGGTTGATTATTGCTCTCACCAATAATAAGAATCGTCCATCGAGAGAAACTACCCGTCTACGTACTACTACCTAAGGCATACATCATTTTTATACTCGGTACAGGGGTTATATGTTTCTGTTTGGCTCTCTGCGAGTTAGATTCCGTGATGTGTATTAGCCCGGATACAGGGAGCTTCTTAGCTAGGACGACCTCGTGCACGGTATCATTTGGGTAGCTTCGAAGTGCTTGTACAACTAAGCAACACCTTACGTTACAATAGTTTAGTCCAGTGCTCACGCTGTATAACCTCCTATGCACAAAAAGGAGTATACTCATCCCTCCAGGCTCTCACATCTTTCGGTAGACCAGCAAGAGCCTTATGGGTCTACCTTGTGCCATCAAACTTGGAATTCATCATCTCATTCTGTGTCAATCTAGTAATAGAAAATAAATAAAAATCTAATTCTTGCGATATCTTCGATTGGAGGAACTTGTCATTGTATTTAATCTTCCCTTACAAGGTAACATAACAAATGTGGCACAGTACAAAAAGACGAAGTATAAAGTCAAGTTGGTGCCTTGTAGCCTGAACATCCACTCGGATCATCTGATTTCCGACCTCCGTGAAATGCGGGATGATCGACGTCACAGTGAAGTTGCAGTGCGTCAATCTGAGGTCTGAGGCCCGTCACTTCAAAAAAAAAAAAAGTTTTGATAACTGGCTACTGTGGGATTGACTTTGATATAGCCCGAATTTCCGGATATCCGAACTTATTTTGGATTTCGAGCCCGAGAAGATTGATATAAATATTAAAAGAAAATTGAATGTGGGGAAATACTGCAATTTTTTGCTTATATCCCAGTGCCAATCATCAGTCGCAAATAGGCCTGGAAGCTCTGGAAGTCAGGGTCTGATTGATTTGGCTTCAATTGCGGGGTGGTATGATCAAGGGAATCGACGTCATTGCTACATTCCCATTTCAGAGTCTCGACCTTCCCCAATCTTTCATCTCCGCTTTCAATCCTGAATTCTTTTACACCCGGACATCATGGCTGATGCAGAGATACAACACCTACGTCGACTGTCGGCGGATAATCAGATAGTCTCGAAAGCTGATATCTCCTTGAAGGAACGCTTCTTCCGCTACTTCCAGCATGAGATCACCGGTATGTTCCCGTTGATATTCACATGCCACCTCATTATCAAGCAGCATAATCAAAAGGACTTTTGCTAATAACATTACCATTCTAGATTTGCAACAGGAGATGGATCGTCTTGCAGATACAGCTCTTGTCGGTGGTGAGCGTGCCGATGCAACAGACCATTGCCTTGCCGGGATCGTGCGGTTATCCAATGAAGTCAAGGATGCAGCGAGCTATATCCCCACCTACGATCAGAGGGTATACGCAGAGGTAAAGGCTACTCAAACTCTATCCTCATAGCGCAAAGCTGACATCTCTATAGGCAATCAAAGCTTTGCAGGATCGATTGAGCGAGACACGTGCAGCATTCGAGCCCCGATCAAAGTTTAGCTTCAAGACCAAGAAAAACACATCCGCTGTATCTTTGTCCGATGCTGCCACGCTAGCAGTTGAAGGAAGGCTTAGCATCCCTGGGTACCACTCTCCGGGTGCCTCGTCCGTTGACTCGTCCGCGAATCAGACCCCTAACTACCCTTCTACTCCACTGAACGAGCCGGATAGACAGCAACAAGAACGACCGGAACTTGCACCCACTTCATTCCCAGGTGCCTTGACCGGGGGCTTTGCCACAAAGTCCCACACGCAGAAGCCCCCTGGTGCGTTTGCGGCCACCGGCATATCCTCTGTGTCGGTCGATGATCATCACAATCTGCACATTATGCTTCCAGCCTCCGGGTCGATATCCACAGTTCCAGTGTCTATTACCTCCCTGGATCGCTGCATTGTTGATATGTCCATTCCCACTGCCAACGGAAAGCCATATGCCAGTCTGACTGCCAAGGAGATCAATGAAAGCTTATTGATCTGCGGTCAAGTCAATGGTCCTGCACACATTACTGGCGTCAAGCGTAGTGTGATTGTGGTATCATGCCGCCAGTTCCGCATGCACAATTGCAGCGACGTTGATGTCTATCTCAGTTGCTCCAGCAACCCTATTATTGAGGACTGTTCCAATATTCGGTTTGGTCGGATCCCGAAGGCCTATGTCAGTGTTCTCCTCGTGTCTATTTCTTCCCTCCAGTTGTATACTGACATTATTCTATCTAGGCCTTGAACCATGACCGTCCCGACCACGAAGACCGCTGGAGCCAAGTCGAAGATTTCAAATGGATCAAGCCAGAGCCTAGCCCAAATTGGAGTCTACTCGACTCCAACGATGCCGTTCCCGAAGAGGTTTGGGCAGAGATTGTTCCCGGCGGGCCGGGATGGTCTCTTGAAGACATTTTGCATGCCATAAAAGTACTCTAAAATTAGGTTTCCCCGCTTGATCGATCGATGTCTTGGTACTTGAATGGACATTTTCCTACAGGACGCATCCTGGATACCAACTGTCATCATACGCCGCAATTGACAACGCCATTTCTACTTCAAATAATCCTAACTTTTACTCTTTTTTTCTTGACGCCACCATGATCAATTACGATTTTTGTGATCTTTGAATTTGGGAAAGGACTCGAGTTTAGTTGCGCTACTTCAGCTGTGTACTTATAGTATCAACTATGTACTTGTAGCTACAGACAGAAATATAAGAGATTGGTGGAGGAGCATATACTGATCTGAGCATAATTCACAACTCACTCGTTGAATGAAATAAGGACGTGTAGTCTGTCGGCCGCTTATGCAGCCTCTGTTCTTGACGATGAAGGAAGGTGATGGATACATAATCTGACCCATTTGACTAAAGATAGCATTGAAACGTTATACTACTTTTCGGTGTTTGAGTATGATCGGTAACATTACTTTTCAGAGATATTCTAGGTCTCGGTTTGGGATCTACCAAATTTCAGGGGTTAAGTGTTCCAAGTTGTGGGCACTTTGGGGTAATTTTTCGCGTGGTAGCCCAGGTCTTCATAGACAGTTTCGTCTCCTGGAGTTCAGGTCAATCCCAGCCCGATCAATAGAGCCAACAGAGAATCAAGACAGCAACATACCTTTTAGAGAATCAACCCGATGCTGGTCTTCATCTGACAGTTTCTCCAATTCCTGACCAGGTTCTTCCTCATGGCGCTGTTTATCACCCATAGCAAATGCAGCCTTGCCAAGGTCATTCTGCGCCTCGCCGATCATGAGGAATTGAGCATTAGGATAGTCCAGGAACTCCGGCTGCAGAGGCACCCATCGAAGATCTTCGAATTTGTCAAGAACCCTAACGAGAGCGATGTTAATATGATGATACTATAATCTCAATGAGAGACTACTTACGATTGAGGGTATTCTGGATCTTTTGGTAATTGACCCACCGGTGGACCGGCATACTTGGGACTCTTCGACTGAACAATCCAACTCCCGCGTGCTTGCAGGCCGAAGTCCTCCTGAACATCACCCAACTCGGCAGGGATGGTCAGAATATACGCGAGATGGGATGCCCGCTGTGTGGAGGTTATCGCATAGACACCTTCCGCGTAGGGTCTGGCTTCCTCGGTGTGACGTTCACCTCGGGTGGAAGTCTGGTATGTTTTACCAGCGATGAAGTTTTCATGGAGAGCTTGCATAGATTGTCCAGCCTTCTCCACAAATCCCATATCCCGTTCTTTGGCCGAGGTAGGGAACTTCTTTTTTGGGAGAATCATCAAGCGACATGAGGCATCCTTGTCGACAGGGCCTTGTCCTTCGTCGAATTCCGCCCCGAGGACGGTTGGACGGAGAACAAAGAAGCTTCGGGCGACATCTCCCATACTCTGAGGGTCCTCTGTATTGACGCGTGGGCGGAAGAAGAAGTAGATGAAGCCTTTTTCGAGGATGTTGGAGGATACCACGTTTTCCCTCTCCTCGGACTTACGTAGACCTCCCTCAATTTCTTGGGGTTTCTCCGGAGGGATTTCGGGTTTCTCCTGTGGTGGTTGTAATTCGGATGGTTCTTCTCTCTTGACAGGTTCTTCTCTCTTGACAGATTCCTCTCTCTTGACAGGTTCTTCTCTCTCGACGGGTGGTTCCTCTGCCGTCGGCATTGGACCATCTTCCGACGTGCCTGTTACCTGCTCCGCGTTCTCTTCATCTGGCTTTATGCCCTCCGTTTTCTCCTTTTTGGGCTGTGGAGCTTCTTCAGTTGAACCTTTCCGCTTTGTGCCTTTGGTAGCCTTGCTAGTCGGTTCGGCGGAAGTTGAAATGGCTTCCTTGGCCTTTTGGGCAGCATGGCGGGTGGATGTTCGTGTAACCATTATGAATGGTGGATTCCTTAGATTGTGGTAAAAGCCAAAAGATATCTGATCCATCTTAGTGGTTTTAGCCTCCGAGGCTGTCATGAGATACACATGACGTCATGTTGTACAGACAAAGACAAATCCGGAGACATATTTAAGTGACTTTGCTGAGAATGACCGATGAGAATGTCATTATAATTGACAATTCAATCGATATCCATCTCATCGGCCATAGGCGAGTCGTCCATGGTGTCGTTGCCTAGGTCGATCGATGCTGTCTCGGAACCCGAGCTTTCATTTGCGTTGCTTTCCCGGAAATCGCCGAATGAGTCTATGTCTTGTGAGTCCCACTTTGGAAGTTCGCTAAACCTTCGTCTTTTGGGGCGATGGTTATGCACGTCAGGCTGGGTCTCGGGTGATGTATGTCTTGGTGCGAAGCTCGGATCCCCGTGCTGTGTAGCGAGAGTGTTGCGGGCTGGCTTTCTCTTCTGCCCTCTCTTTCGCACCAATGGAATTGTATTGCTATTAAATTCACCGGGCTGAGAGTCTAGATCGTTCAGGTAGTCTGTCAAGTCGCGCTGCCATTGCTCGAGCGGATCTGGGAGACATAGTAGATCTACCCTTGGTAAGCTAGTTTCTAGTTCATCGTCGGGTTCTTCAATATCGTAGGGCTTGATGACTCGAATATCATCACTGTCCTCGAACGTATTCATGTTGTGAGTAGGCGTTGAGGGTCCTGAGCCGTTCATGCTCTGCTCACTTTCCTCCGGCTGTTGGTCTGCTGTAGCAGAAGGAAACTCGGCGAAGTATTTAAAGGGTCGGTTTTGATTGGCAGGACTCGTTCTATCATCCATTGGGAGGTCCTCCATTATTTTATATCAAGCCTTGAACCCGAGCGATGTTGATATTCCGTTCCAATTCAAGGTAGACGGTCAAGTCGCATAATCCATGATCGGGCTTCTAAGGAAAGAAGCAGTATATAGGGAAAGAAATGTGTACTATTAAAAGATCAAGTACAAAATGAGACTAGTAAAGGCGTAGGAGAAAGGAACGCGCAAGAAAGTCATGGTCGTCATAACATCATGGCCTTCCAGATGTTTCTAACGTGGGGGTGGAAGATGGGGAACAGAATATATCTCCACTCGTCGAAGTTGAAGTTGTGTATAGTCAGAAAAGAGAAACCATGGTTAACTTCAATCCATAGAATGAGAGTATATCGAACATTTCCTCGATCTTGATCTAAAAACAAATCTATAATAACTAGTGGTGCAAAGTAAAGATCGAGACCAGCTCCCCCTGACCGCTCACCGCCCGGCAGCATGATTGGCCGATGTCATTCGCTTCCACAATAGAGTCCACGTTTAGTTTACTGCTACACCAAACACCAGCACCAAGTGTTTACCTTTCGCTCTTTTCTTTATTTCAGGTGGATGCGGTGGTCGCCTCTGCCTTCTATTGCTCTCTAGTGTGCGGAGCTTGCTACTTTACAGTGCGGCTCCGGCCAAATCTTCAAGATGCAGTCCTCCCCAAACATGCTCACCAAGGTACGCCCCCCCTCGGGCATCCTAATGCGCCATCAAACAATGGGACTCAATTGAAGATGCTAATGATTATCTCTCTTGTGCAGTTTGAGTCTAAATCCTCCAGAGCCAAAGGAATCGCATTCCACCCAAAACGGTCAGTCAATCCCGCGGAGGGACACCTAACACCTCAAAGCACCCACCCTGACCTCAAAACAGGCCATGGATTCTTGTCTCTCTTCACTCCTCTACCATCCAACTGTGGGACTACCGCATGGGAACTCTTATCGACCGATTCGAAGAACATGATGGCCCCGTTCGCGGCGTTGACTTCCACCCAACCCAGCCCCTGTTTGTGTCGGGAGGTGACGACTACAAGATCAAAGTTTGGAACTACCAGACCCGGAGGTGTCTGTTCACATTGAATGGCCACCTGGATTATGTGCGAACAGTTTTCTTCCACCCTGAGCTGCCTTGGATTCTGTCTGCGTCCGATGACCAGACCATCAGAATCTGGAACTGGCAAAACCGGTCACTCAGTAAGATGCATTGGAGCTACCTGTATTAACATCAACTAACCCTTTACCTTTTTTTAGTCTGTACGATGACCGGTCACAACCATTATGTTATGTGCGCTCAGTTCCACCCCACCGAGGATCTTATTGCCTCGGCCTCGTTGGATCAGTCGGTTCGCATTTGGGACATTTCCGGCCTGCGGAAGAAGCACTCGGCCCCTACCTCGATTTCCTTCGAAGATCAAATGGCAAGAGCCAACCCAAACCAAGCTGATATGTTTGGAAACACCGATGCAGTCGTTAAGTTTGTGCTGGAAGGTCATGACCGCGGAGTTAACTGGGTGTCGTTCCACCCGACACTGCCCTTGCTCGTGTCCGCCGGTGACGACCGGTTGGTTAAGCTCTGGCGAATGAGTGATACCAAGGCATGGGAAGTCGATACTTGCCGCGGCCATTTCCAAAATTCCTCCGCCGCTTTGTTCCACCCACACCAGGACCTCATCCTTTCCGTTGGCGAAGATAAGACGATTCGCGCATGGGATCTTAACAAGCGTACATCCGTTCAGTCCTTTAAGCGCGACCTTGATCGATTCTGGGTTATCGCTGCCCACCCCGAGATGAACCTGTTTGCCGCGGGCCATGACACCGGTGTAATGGTCTTCAAGCTCGAGCGAGAGCGCCCTGCGTCTGCTATCTACCAGAACCAGCTGTTTTACATAACAAAGGATAAGCACGTCAAGTCATATGACTTCGGCAAGAACGTTGAGTCGCCGCCGATGCTCTCGCTGCGAAAGCTGGGTTCTCCATGGGTCCCTCCGCGTACCCTCTCTTACAACCCCGCCGAGCGTGCTATTCTCGTTACCACGCCCGCCGATAATGGAACTTATGAACTGATTCATCTCCCCAGAGATGCTACTGGAGCTGTTGAGCCTACAGACGTCAAGCGTGGACAGGCCACTTCGGCAGTTTTCGTCGCCCGCAACCGCTTCGCTGTCTTCAACCCCTCGAGCCAGCAGGTCGATATCAAGGATCTCAGCAACTCCACAACGAAGACAATCAAGCCCCCGGCGGGCACGACCGATATCTACTTTGGTGGTACCGGATGTCTGCTCTTCATCACCCCTACACATGTTGCTCTATTCGACATTCAACAAAAGAAGCAGCTTGCAGAGCTTGCTGTCAGCGGAGTGAAGTATGTGGTGTGGTCTAACGATGGGTTGTATTGCGCTTTGCTCAGCAAACACAATGTCACGATTGTGACCAAGACCCTCGAGCAGGTCAGCACCTTGCACGAGACTATTCGCATCAAGAGTGCTACCTGGGATGACGCCGGTGTCCTGCTCTACTCCACCCTTAACCATGTGAAGTACTCCCTTCTCAACGGCGACAATGGTATTATCCGCACCCTTGACCAGACCGTATACCTTGTTCGTGTCAAGGGACGCAGCGTCTATGCTCTTGACCGCAATGCCCAGCCACGCGTCTTGGAGATTGACCCGACAGAATACCGTTTCAAGCTCGCCCTCGTGAAGCGGAATTACGATGAAATGCTTCAGATTATCAAGACCTCGAGTTTGGTTGGCCAGAGCATCATTTCCTATCTGCAGAAAAAGGGTTACCCGGAGATTGCTCTGCAATTCGTGCAAGATCCCCAGACCCGCTTTGACCTTGCCCTAGAATGTGGTAACCTCGAGGTTGCCAATGAAATGGCACGGGAGCTTGATCGCCCCAACGTCTGGAGTAGACTTGGCGCTGAGGCATTGGCTCATGGTAACCACCAGATCGTCGAAATGACTTACCAAAAGCAGCGTAACTTCGACAAGCTCTCTTTCCTCTACCTCTCTACCGGCGACCAGGAGAAGCTTTCTCGCATGGCTAAGATTGCCGAACACCGTGGTGACTTCACCTCTCGTTTCCAAAACGCTATCTACCGTGGGGACGTTGAGGACCGAATCCAGATGTTCAAGGAAGTGGACTTGTGTATGTATTAACCCTTATGGCAATTGTTTCATTCATGCTAATTCCCGCCAGACCCTCTTGCTTATCTTACTGCCAAGTCACATGGTCTGATTGAAGAGGCCGAGTCCATTTTGGAGGCTGTTGGCCTCACCGAAGATCAGATCCTCCTACCCACAGTCGGGCAACCTCTGAAGGTTCCCCAACCTATTGTGCCCACTTTCAAGTCCAACTGGCCTGTTAAGGCTGCCGGTCACTCCTCCTTTGAGAAGGCCCTTCTTGGAGAGGTTGGTGCTGGCGACGAAGAGACTGGTGCCGAAGGATTCGAGATTGAGGAAGAGGAGCAAGAAGCTGCTGTCGCCCGGGAAACCCTTGAGGACGACGAAGAGGAAGTTTCAGGATGGGATATGGGTGATGATGTCAACGTGGAGGAAGATGTCGACTTCGTCAATGTGGAAAGCGCCGAAGCTGGCGCGGGCAGTTCTGAGGCTGATTTGTGGGCTCGTAACTCCCCGCTGGCTGCCGACCATGTCGCCGCTGGCTCTTTCGACACTGCGATGCAGCTCTTGAACCGTCAAGTTGGTGCCGTACAGTTCGCTCCTCTCAAGCCTCGCTTCCTCGAAGTTTACAAGGCGACTAAGACCTATCTCCCGGCTACTGCTGGTCTGCCGCCTTTAGTCAACTATGTGCGCCGGACTGTCGACGAAACTGACTCCCGGAAGATGCTTCCCATCATTCCCCGGGACCTAGAGACAGTTGCTAGCCTTGACCTGCAAGAGGGTTATGCCGCTATGCGGTCCAACAAATTGGAGGACGGTGTAGCAACCTTCAAGCGTATTCTTCACACTGTTCTCGTTAACACCGTCTCATCCGAAGCCGACGTGGAGGAGGCAAAGAAGATCATTGCCACTGCTCGGGAATACATTCTCGCCATGTCGATCGAGCTCGAGCGCCGTACTCTCTCCACCGACTCCCCTGAGAGTCTCAAGCGCAGCCTTGAGCTGTCCGCCTACTTCACAATCCCCAAGCTCGAGGTCGCTCACCGACAACTAGCGTTGATGGCTGCCATGAAGTTGGCCTTTGCCAACAAGAACTACGGCTCAGCCTTGAGCTTTGCTAACCGCATGCTGGCTAATGGAGGCTCCGCTAAGCTTTTGGAACAGGTAAGACTTTTCTTAAAATTGAGCCTTCAACTTGTGATATACCATTTCTAACAACGAGAAACAGGCCAAGAAGATCAAAGCTCAATGCGAACGCAACCCTCAAGATCAGATCGATATTGACTTCGACCCCTTCGCCGAATTCGACATCTGCGCTGCCTCCTACACTCCTATCTACAGCGGCTCTCCCAGTGTTTCAGACCCCTTCACTGGTGCCAAATACCACCCCCAGTACAAGGGAAGTGTCGACCGGATATCGGATGTTACGGAGATTGGTGCCCCGGCCAGCGGCCTGCGGCTGTTCGTCCCCAGCCAATTTTAATTGCTGCATGACGAAACATAACGGTTTTCTGCCTTTTTCCTCTTCTTGAAACGAAGTTACAAATGGGTACATTTTCATCTGCACGAGGAGAAGTTGTGTTTGGCGGCGCTTTTCATTTTTTTTTTCGGCTGGGAGAAACAAAACTTCCTGCACACAGTCCCCTTGTCTAGATGTCTTTTTGTATCCAAGATTATAATTGCTTAGCGATCTAGTTTGTATGCGAACATGTTTTGTCCAAAGTTCTATATTCTAGGGATAACCCGAAGACCATGTCTCTAGTTCCTCGGTCTCTATTACCCAGCCAATAGTGATAAAAGTACAATCTATATTGATTCGCGAAAATATGCATATATAATCTAATGTACAAGGGAGATAGATGTTCAAAGCGAAGAGTAGAGAGAAGACCACTCCAACAAAACCACCATAAACATATCACTCAATCACACCGACCATCCTTCCACCCAGTGCGCCATCTTTCCTCCCAAAGCCGACAATCAAATTCTTTCTTCCCAAGCTTCCGATTAACCTCATTATGCGCTTCGCACATCCACCACCCAAACTCCTTCCGACTCTCCAGTTTCGGCTGATTCCGTCCACTCGGATGCGCCATCCATGTCTGGAAATCATCAGCACACACCCAGCATGGGTACAGCTTCGCGAAGAACTTCAAGAACCCGCTCATATTAGCCTGGTGCTCCATGTTTGCTTTTTCGGGGTATGTGGCTGCCATTGAGTGCAGTAGTGTCCATGTTGAGCGGCCTAGCTCTTCGACGTCTGGCGGGCAATCTGAGGGAGTTTCGCTGGGGGAGGGGGTTGCAGCAGCGGCGAGGGCGGGGGTTGAGGTTGTCATTTTGCTTGTGCTTGATGTGGGGGTTGAGGCAGAGCTCGAGTTTGTGCTTTTGTGGTCAGCTTGCTTGGTCAATGCTCGCCATGAGGCGACGGAGGTGCAGGTGCGGCAGCTGTGAGGTCTGTACGTTAGCTTGATCTGTATATTAAGCTCGCGGAGTAGACCGGGTGAGCTAGGTAGGTGGACTCCTTAAATACTTACGGCTTTCCGTCTTTGTCCAAGACTACGCCCTTGGGCAATGGGGCTTTCGAGTCATCGTCTCCGGCGGGCTTGGATGAGCTTGCGGAAGTCGCCGGGTTTTGGTGGCTGAACATAGACGCCGTGCCTTTATATTGGCTATTGACTTGTTCCGGTGGAGCCGAGGACATATTCTCAACTATTAAGGCTTGATTCCCTGGAGAAATTGGTGATTTGGAGTTGTGAAAGTGATTCGGAGTTGATTTCTAATAGATTGCGGAGAAACAGCGGAGTCGAGAGCGAGGGAATAGTGACGGATATTTGGCGCAATAGTCAGTAAAGTAGATACTCAAAAAAGGAAGCGACGAAGACCCTTAGGATCAATGAGCTCGGAATAAGTATAGAATCCAAAAGCTGAGCTTTCAGACCAAGAGTCGCAAATGACATACAAGTGAAATGCAGATCAATCTCGATCCCGCTTTGTCAGCCATTCCCGCCGCGCTTCAACGCAGACGCGCTCAGTCAGGTTCGCGGTTTGATTGAAATACCTAAACCTCTTTCTTCCATTACTTTAGTCTTTCATCCTTATTTATTCACGTATAATCCGAGCAGCCGGACACTTCATTGAAACTCACTCCTACACCTCTTAACTTCTTTCCAATCGGAACAGCGCGACATAAACATGCCGCCGAAGTATACAATGTCCGACTCTGAGTCTGAAGCTGAGGGTGAGGTGCTCAGCGTTCCCTCTGACCAGGCTCTTGAGAAAGGCCTTCGCGACCAAGTGGCTGCAATCTTCAAGTCGGGCAATATGGAGGAATTGACTGTCAAGCGCGTGCGATCTGCCACAGAACATACACTAGGTCTCACAGCGGGGTACTTTAAGTCTACAGGTGACTGGAAAGCGCGGAGTGAGAATATAATCAAGGACGAGGTGGTGAGTCTTTGTTCGCATTTACAGTGCCCCTTCATCAGCTTGATAGTAGCATCGGGGCAACTTCAAGAGAAACATACACTGAACGCAATGCTTTTACAGGAAACACAAGATCAGGCGATACAAAATCCACAATCCCAAGCCACTAGAAAGTCCCCCTCTCCTCCCCCAAAGCCAAAGCCCACTGCCCTTGCGAAGCGAGCAAAACCAGAGACCGCGCCAAAGCCTAGGAAGCGCCAGAAGACTAGGACGCCGGTGTCCGATGAGGAGGAGCTATCAGTCCTGTCATCTGAAGAGAGTGCCGAGGTCACGAAGCCTAAGAGTCGATCGAAAGCGCCAATAAAAAAGTCACCAGTGAAGAAGGTCTCCGCAAGGAAACCCGAGAAAGATATATCAGATGCTTCTGATTTCACCGGTGATGAGAGCGACAATGATGATGTCCCAAAGCCCAAGAAACGATCGAAAGCGCCAGTGAAGAAGTCTCCCGCGAAGAAACACTCCATATCAAAACCCACAAATGATGCGTCAGACGCTTCTGATGCTCCCGATGACACTTCAGATGTCGCCAAAAAGACCGGAGATACCAAGGATGATTCCGAAAGTGAGATGTCGGTGGTGCTTGACGAAGAGCCTCAGCCCAAGGCCCCACGCAAGCGACAGAAGAGTGCCGCGGGAACTGCGACCAAGACGAAGAAAGTTCCCAAAGCCAAGGATGAGAATACCAGCCCGGACCAGGCTGAAATCAAACGACTGCAAGGATGGCTCATTAAATGCGGGATCCGTAAGCTGTGGGGTAAAGAGCTGGCACCTTATGACACCCCCAAAGCCAAAATCAAGCATCTCAAGGGGATGCTAGAGGATGCTGGAATGACTGGCCGGCCATCTCAAGAGAAGGCGAACCAGATCCGCGAAGAACGAGAGCTGAAGGCGGATCTAGAGCAGATCCAGCAAGGTGCAAAACAATGGGGTGCTAAGAGTGATGAGGAGAATGATGAGGGTGCGAAGCCTCGGCGTAGGTTGTCTCGGGGGCGACAGTCACTTGCGTTCTTAGAGAGTGAAGGCGAAGAGACTGACTGATGATGGATAGTGCAGGTTCGTAATTAATGAGTTCGCCGGACCAGCTGGGCTGCCAGGAAATCGGATTATGCGTTCATGTCACTTTTGTATTTCATACTTCATACTTCATAATATCCCCAAATATACAGCAATATAGGGGTCTCCATCATCGCCCAGCTTTCGGTCCACTCATACGCTGAGCAGTCAAGCTGAAGATGGCAACAGAAGAAATGAAGAGGACGAGATTGTAGAACTGCACTTTGTTAGCATCATCAAATCGGCTCGAAGTTGGTCCAATGACATACGGCCTTTCGCGAGTACTCGTTCTCCTCCGCTTCCGTTCTAGCCTCGACAAAGAGGCGACGCAAGTTAGGGAGGTTAGCCTGCAGATGTGTTAGTCTTGACAGTTTGGCAGTTTGACAGATATAGAATAAACCATACCATTAAGACAGCGATGGTCTGGATTAGGGACAAAATAAATGAGAGAGAGAGAGAGAGTTGATGACCGTAGAGCGGGAGAGTCCAGAAGCCACCATTTGTGGACAACTTTTGATCGTCCGAAACACCCTCTCTCCTTCTCTCCCCCCATTCTTCCTCGAAATCTCTCCACCCCCGGATTGTTCACGTATCTCTTTGTGTTTGACAAAGTGACGAACAATCTCGACACATTCCATTCCCCGACCTCGCGCGACCGTGAAGCTCCCAATCCCCCGCAGTCGCCCTACGCTACTCGATTCCCACCCATCCCCGATATCTCTAGGCGGAGGCACGACCTAGTCGTTGCTGAAGCTTATACATCCTCGCTATGGCGATGAACAAGATCCGCGGCGCCTTTACGGTACCTCGGAAAGGAGAGACGTTTGAATTGCGAGCTGGACTTGTGTATGCGGCCCCCTCCACCATGCGCTGGTTAACTTGCCATAGAGAATGACGAATGATATTAACTATTATTGCAGTTCCCAGTATGCCTACGAACGGTATGTGCAGCAGTGAAGCCTTCAGTCCGGCCTGGTAGTGTATGGCGAAGACACGGTGTTGCTGACAATGTAACAGGAAGGAATCCATTCAAAAGACAATCATGGCCATGACCTTAGGAAAAGATGTCTCGGCCCTGTTCCCAGATGTTCTTAAGAACATTGCTACAGCGGATCTTGAGCAGAAGAAATTGGTCTACCTGTATCTCATGTGGGTATCATAGTACAACTGAAGGTGGCTACGTGTGCTAATCGGTCGATTCTCACTTTTAGGAACTACGCCAAATCGCACCCTGATTTATGTATTCTCGCCGTGAACACGTTCGTACAAGACTCGGAAGATCCGAACCCACTGATTCGTGCGCTGGCAATCCGAACAATGGGTTGTATTCGGGTGGAGAAGATGGTGGACTACATGGAAGAACCGCTGCGCAAGACCCTCCGAGACGAGTCACCGTATGTCCGCAAGACAGCTGCTATCTGTGTGGCCAAGCTTTTCGATCTGAACCCGGCAATGGCCATCGAGAACGGATTCTTGGAGACGCTCCAGGAGATGATTGGAGACCCCAACCCCATGGTAGTCGCCAATTCGGTGACCGCACTTCAGGAGATTCATCACACGGCGCCCGAGACACAGGCTCTGCAGATTAATGGTAACACTCTACGGAAGATGCTGATGGCTTTGAACGAGTGCACGGAATGGGGACGCGTCACTATTCTTTCAACTTTGGCCGAGTATAAGACCTCCGACGTGAAGGAGTCGGAGCACATTTGCGAACGAGTCGCTCCTCAGTTTCAGCACGTTAATTCCGGTGTGGTTCTTGCGGCAGTCAAGGCTGTGTTCTTACATATGAAGAACGTTAGCCCTGACTTGTCGAAGAACTACCTAAAGAAGATGGCTCCGCCATTGGGTATGCTCCCTCGCTGCTATCATTGCACTTCGGCTTTTTTTTTTTACTAATTCTATATAGTTACATTGGTTTCGTCAGCCCCCGAAGTGCAATATGTTGCATTAAGAAATATCGATCTTATCCTGCAGAAGGAGCCTGACATTCTCAACAAAGAACTCCGTGTTTTCTTCTGCAAATACAATGACCCACAATATGTCAAGTTCCAGAAACTTGAGATTATGGTGCGTATAGCGAACGACCGCAATGTGGACCAACTCCTCGCTGAGTTGAAGGAATATGCCCTCGAAGTCGACATGGACTTTGTCCGCCGAGCTGTCCGGGCAATCGGCCAGGTTGCCATCAAGATTGAGAGCGCCAGCGAGCGGTGCGTTAACACGTTGTTGGATCTCATCAACACCAAGGTGAACTACGTCGTTCAGGAAGCGATCGTTGTCATCAAGGACATCTTCCGGAAATACCCTGGCTACGAAGGTATCATTCCGACTCTATGCCAGTGCATTGATGAGTTGGATGAGCCCAATGCTAGAGCGGCACTCATCTGGATTGTTGGAGAGTATGCCGAGAAGATTAGCAACGCGGGTGATATCTTGGGTGGCTTTGTGGACGGCTTCAACGAAGAATTCTCCTCGGTTTGTTCTTCCCTTCTGATATACGCTACAATCTTGACTAACCTCTATCTCTAGACCCAATTGCAAATCCTCACCTCTGTGGTCAAACTCTTCCTCAAGCGGCCCGAGAAGGCACAGGGCCTGGTGCAGCGGGTACTCCAGGCTGCGACATCTGAGAACGACAACCCAGATGTCCGTGACCGAGCATATATCTACTGGCGTCTTCTGTCTAACACCAGCGATTCAAATGCGACAAAGAACATTGTGCTCTCGGATAAGCCCCCTATCGTCACCACCATCCACTCATTGCCCCCGGCGCTCCTCGACCAACTCCTCTCCGAACTGTCTACTCTCTCTTCCGTCTATCACAAGCCCCCCGAGCAGTTTGTTGGCCACGGCCGCTTCGGCGCCGACGCCGTCATGCGCGCTGCTATCGAGTACGTATTCTAATTTCCTTCGTTCGTTGAACATGGTGCTAATCACTCCACAGGGAACAAATCCAGAACGCGCGCGAGAACCCATTGGCCGCGGCTGCTGCCGCTGCCGCTGGCGGTACCACAGCCCCTGCGCAGGCGCAAAACAACGTCGAGAACCTGCTGGACATTGATTTCGACGGTGGTGCGCCTGCCTCCGCACAAACCGAGCCTTCCAGTGGCATGTCCGGTCTGGAGGGTCTGGCTGGCACTCCCGTAAGGGTAGCATCCCCTGCAGCTGGTGCCCCGACAGCGCAAGCAAGCAACAACCTAGATGATCTCCTGGGCGTGTTCGGAGATTCCGGTGCCGCCCAGCCCTCGTCGAGCGGTGCCAACAGCGGTGATCTCATGAACGGATTCTCTGGTCTTGATCTCTCCGGCAATGCGGGCCCTTCTCAAAATACCCAGACCAAGAAATCCAACGACGACATCTTGTCGCTCTTTTAGGGGAATCACATTGATGGTATAGCCAAGTGTGTCTAGCCGACCCTACCGGCTGATGTTATATCCAGGTGTTTTCGCAAGCGAGAATCTGAACTGAACGAGATAGATTGGTGTTTTCTTTTACTTGTTTAATGTTTCTTGCATCCCTACCTAAACGGACTTCAAAAGGCCTGTACATTTCTGCCTCGAATATCAATTTCTTTTATTGTGATGATTTGAACATAGATTAAACATATCTTGGCTCTGCAGCCAAGCTTTGCAGTGTAATACCTATCACTTAGCCCTATGTCGTAGGGATCCCGAGGCTGAAAGGCTCAAATATCGATGCAAATAAACTTCCGGTTTTTCTCGGCCGATCCCACGGCTCCACAGAAAAAGGAAGGAAAAAAAAAAAAAAAAAAAGAAAAAAAAAACCCCCCCTTAAAATGAGGAATATCTCTAATGTGATTCGTATATCATTGAATTCAATACTACCACAGAGGGACATCCGTGTAGAACTTTTCTATATTGTAGGTTTAGTATGTATCTACGTACATGTAGATGTAGGTGGATGCTAAGTTATCAACCCAATGTCCCGGAATAACCTTCTCCAACTATAACATAGATAAACACCACCCATTCTATAGGCGCTCCCCAAGTCCAAATCTCGACGGAAACATCGAAAACGCTGGTTACCGATTATTCATCAAACGGAAGTTTCCAGTGTGTGAAAAACCGAGTGGGACTCGGGATCTGTGCCGCTTGCAAGATTCGGATATAAACGGGGCAGACCCCCAGGAAAGAAGTGTCAGTGAACGTTTCCCTTAATTCACAAAATGGCGCAATCAGACTACAAATTCGAAGGCTGGATGGGTCTCGACCCTAGTGCCGCCGAGGGCAAGATGGTCTGGCAAGAATTCCAGCCGAAAGAGTGGGAGGAGACCGATGTTGATATCAAAGTCTCTCACTGCGGTATCTGTGGTTCTGATTTGCACACTCTCCGGAGCGGCTGGGTATGTTTTATGTTTTCCGTATCAGCGAGATCTCATGGGGAAACTCGTTGTTTAACACATTCGCATTCGTGTGGAAAAGAAAAACTAACATTCGCCACAGAGACCCACCGCCTATCCCTGCTGCGTAGGCCACGAGATTGTCGGCACAGCCGTGCGCGTGGGTAGCAAGGTCTCCGACATCCAGCTCGGGGACCGTGTCGGAGTCGGCGCCCAGAGCGAGTCCTGTCTTGGCCGCCAAGGCGATTGCGAGGAGTGCGCCTCAGGCCAGGAGAACTACTGCAGCAAGAAGGTAGTCGGCACGTACAACAGCATCCACTACGACGGTAGTAAGTCATACGGCGGGTATGCGCGGTACCACCGTGTGCCCGGCCACTTTGCTATCAAGATCCCCGACGCTATCTCGTCTGCTGATGCCGCGCCCATGCTGTGTGGCGGTGCTACCCTCTTCAGCCCACTTAAGCACAATAACTGTGGTCCTGGCAAGCGCGTGGGAATTATTGGTGTCGGTGGACTCGGTCACTTTGGCTTGTTGTTTGCTAAGGCTATGGGGGCTGATAAGGTTGTTGCCATCTCGCGGAAGTTGGGAAAGAAGGAGGATTCGCTGAAGATGGGGGCGGATCTTTATGTTGCGACTGATGATGAACCGGACTGGGCTACTGTTAATGCCCGGTCTTTGGATTTGATTGTCTCGACTGTCTCGTCTACTAAGATGCCCTTTAACGATTACCTGGGTCTGCTGAAGACTGGTGGGTCTTTTGTACAGGTCGGTCTTCCCGAGGATGGTGGACTGTTTGCTCCTGTTCGAAGCTTGATGCGTCAGCTGAAGCTGCAAAGCTCCCTCGTTGGTAGCCCTAGCGAGATCCGGGAGATGTTCCAGCTTGTTGCTGAAAAGGGAATCCGCCCGTGGGTGGAGGAGATCCCGATGAAGGATGCGAATAAGGCGATTGTGGATATGGAAGATGGAAAGGCGCGCTACAGATACGTGCTGGTTAACGAGTAAATGCCTGTAAATAGACTAGAAGATGATTGCAATATAGAGATGTGCCCATGAATGAGGTCTAAAAAGATAACAAGGATTCGAATTCTAGTATCTAAATGAGAGCCAATCAAATCACGCACGTGAAGGCCGTTAACGGAGGCGCTAGTCCATTTTGGGATATTCAGATTTCCCCCCGCGGTGGGATGAATCATTCCGCCTCTTCTTCGCTACTTCGGCTTCAAGGAATTCTGTCGAGTCAATTGACCTTCTCACTATGTCGCCTACACTCTCACAACAATACCTAAGTACTCGCGGTGCTGAGTACGGGGTGAGTCGGAAAAATATTTCCAAATTTCATCGCAAACATGTTACTTATCTGTTTCTTTAGAGAACCTTTGAAGATGTTGTTCTTCAAGGCCTGGCCTCGGACGGAGGTCTCTTCATCCCAGAGGAGATGCCTACCCTCCCTAAATCGTGGGAGACCGAATGGCGCGATCTGAGCTTCGAGGATTTGGCGCTCGAAATCATGTCGCTCTATATCTCTACTGACGAGATTCCTCGCGAAGATCTTAAGAACATTATCTATAAGTCCTACTCGACTTTCCGCCACCCCGAGCGCACTCCTTCAGTCCTCCTCGAAAAGAACCTCTACCTGCTGGAGCTATTCCACGGCCCGACCTTTGCGTTCAAGGATGTTGCGCTCAGCTTCCTCGGAAACCTGTTCGAGTACTTCCTTGTCCGCAAGAATGCTGGAAAGACTGGCAAGGACCGCCACCACCTCACCGTTGTTGGTGCTACTAGCGGTGATACTGGTTCCGCTGCTATCTACGGACTTCGCGGGAAGAAGGACGTCTCGGTATTCATCCTCTTCCCTGATGGAGGCCGCGTCTCGCCCATCCAAGAAAAGCAAATGACAACTATCTTGGACCCGAATGTTCACAACCTCACCGTGGCCGGCTCGTTCGACCACTGCCAGGATATCGTCAAAGCGCTCTTCGCCGATAAGGACCTTAACTCCACCCACAACATCGCTGCGGTCAACAGCATTAATATGGCCAGAATCTTGGCCCAGATCACCTACTACTTCTACTCCTACTTCTCCCTCATCAAGTCCCCCTCGTACACCAAGGATTCCAAGTTGCGCGTGGTCGTCCCGTCCGGCAACTTCGGCGATATCCTCGCCGGTTGGTTCGGCAAGCAGATGGGTCTCCCCATCGAGAAACTTGTGATTGCCACCAACGCAAACGACATCCTCGACCGCTTCTTCCGCAGCGGCGGCCACTACACAAAGAAGGCCCTCGACGCCCCCACCGACCACGGCGTGAAGGAAACCCACAGCCCAGCCATGGACATCCTCGTCAGCAGCAACTTCGAGCGTCTCCTCTGGTTCCTCTCCTACAAAACCGCCAACGGCACCGAAGCCGAGCGTCGCAAGCACGCCTGCGAGAACGTTAGCGGGTGGCTCAACGAGCTCAAGACTAACGGCGGCTTCCAAGTCCCCGCCGCCGTCCTCGAGGCCGCCAAGGTCGATTTTGAGAGTGAGCGCGTTAGCAACGAGGAGACTATCGATATGATCCGTGATATCTACAAGACATCCTTCCCTAAGGGTCTTGGTCCCGGCTCTGCCAAGAGCTCCAAGACCGGTGGTTACATCCTTGACCCTCACACTGCTGTTGGTGTTGCTGCCACCCGCCGCTCTTTGGCGCGTAACCCCGAGGATACCCATATCTCGCTGTCCACTGCCCATCCGGCTAAGTTTGCCAGCGCTGTCGATCTTGCTCTGCGTGCTGAGGATGGTTACGACTTCCCCGAGATCCTGCCCCAGGAGTTCGTTGGCCTTGAGCAGCGTGAAAGTCGGGCTACCCCCGTCGGTGAGAGTGCTGGATGGCAGGGTGTTAAGGAGATTGTCAAGGCGGAGCTCGAGCAGGAGTTGCAGGGTTTGCGCTAGATCTGGGACCTGACGAGAGTAACAAAATGCGTTATGGAATACGCTAAGCTGGTGAAATTCAACGGGGAAGGTGGAGCATTTGAGAAAGTATAGACATTTTGAGCACTGTTTTCTTTCTATCTAAACGTATGTCTGTTTTGTTTATTGCACCAGGATCTGAAGTCAGAACCAATTTCTTTACATGTATATCCGTCTCCGCTGCAGCATTCGTGCCAACATGTATATGTCAAAATTCTCCACCGTTTATATGGAATATTCCCACTACTTCATGCTGGGGTTGTCTTCAAGAGGTCTGAGATAGTTTTCGGATCTAGTATGTGATAGACATGTTCCCCCAAGGGGCACACCATTACTGTCAACCAAGAAAGACTACGCATGCTCATTGTGGGAGACAACAATTGCCCCATCCCTCTTCTCATCACGGTAAATCTGCTCCTGTTCACGGTCATACTCCTCAGCAAACTTCCTTCCGTACAGACCAATCCTGTACCAAGGAAGGTCGAACATCTTATCAATAGTCTCGAGACTACGACCAGCAGCCTCGGGCACAAAGAGCCAAACCCAGAACCCACCAAGAACGGAAATAATACCAAAGAAGTAAAAGGTTCCATGAGGGCCGAGACCTCCATGCTCGAGCAGCATCTCAGGCAGGGCACGGTTGACGGCGTACTGGCAGATAAAGTGCATAGCCATTGTGATAGACGAGCAGATACCACGAATACGAAGAGGGAACAGCTCCGACGAAAGCAGATACTGACCACTGTTCCAACCCAATGCCCAGCCGACACCGGAGATGTAGATGAAGGCAATAGCGGCGGTCGATGCACGGTTCTGCGTCTTAGTGGGGACGAATTCTGGGTTTTCGGCGATGGGGACGAGATTCAGGAAGATAGCAATGTAGAACATGGCAATGGTTTGAAGGACAATTCCGATAATGAGAGAACGCTTACGACCGGCCATATCGACTAGGAAGAGAGCGCAGATGATGGCGGCGACGAATTTGACGACGCCGAAGACGACGGTCGAGAACAGGGACTGCTCTTGGCCGGTGATGCCGACGAGGGTGAACAAATCTGGTGCGTACACGGTAATCGCAGAGCCGCCGGACCAGCAGGCCATGTTCTGAGCGAGGTTGGTGAGGAATAGACGGTATGCGTTGCGTTTGATGCCGAGGATCTCCTTGAACAGGCCCTTCCAGCCCATTCCGAGCGTGGCTTCCATCTCCTCCTGGAAGGCAACGTCCATTTCGGTGATCTCGTTTAGAACGTATGGGTGGTCGGCGGGTAAGCCGCGGAGCTTGCAGAGGACCTCGAGGGCTTTCTCGCGTTTGCCCTGCTTGATGTAGAAACGGGGGGATTCAAGCTGGAAGAAGGTGAGGATCAGGATGATACCGGCGAACATTAAATGGAGTGAAGTGGGGACAGCCTGCAGGGAAGACGTGTTAGCTAAATCAGTACGACAACGTTTATAGTGGCAGCAGAACTTACCCAACGGTTGAAGGTATCTGCCATGTGAATCTGAGTACCCCAATTGGCAAAATAGGCAATCATGATACCACTGGACTGAGTATTAGCACCAGAAAGCGAGGCAATGTGGAAGAAGAAGAGGAGAAAGAGTATGAACTCACAGATACACAGCACCAGTAAACATACAAGTACAGAGACCACGGATGGGAGCCGGGGAGATTTCAGAGAGGTATATGGGGCCGACGACACAAGTCTGTCCAATACCAAGACCAGCAACAAAGCGACCAGCATAGACGGCACCCATGTTGCCATTGTTTCCAATAAAGATGGCGATACCGAGAATCCAGAGACAGCAGAGTTGGCGAGTAGCCCAGACACGGCCGATACGATCACAAACAATGAAAGCACTGTTATTCAACCATGATTAGCAAAGGCTGTCGGGGCATAAAGACGAGGATGATGCGTTTCAATAGCAAGACTTACAACAGAGCACCGGCAACACTGCCGAGCTGAACCATGGAGGAAATGGTGCCCTTTATACTGGCGAGCTCATCCTTTTCGAGGTCGTCAATGCCAACAGATGCCTTGAAAGCGTGAGAGTTGAAGACACCCGTGATGAGACCCTCGTCGACACCACGGGCGGCACCCATGAGACCAAATGCAAAGACGGCGAACCATAGCTTTGCATTGAGTGTCTCCTTGGGCAAACTGCCTGTGTTGAACTTGAAGATATTGATAGCAGCACCACCCGCCATGATGGATGATGTTCTTTATTCCTTCTAGATGGGTTGTGGAGAATGAATATACAGATCAAGCGTGGATCGAGGTCATTGATCTGTATAAGAGACGATGTAGCAGCGCCTCGAGAGAACAAATCTCAGATGAAGACAATAGGTTTAGCAGAGGTCTTCGAGAGGTTGGCAGTCGCAGAAGAGAGAAGGTTGTGAGGAGGAGGCTGCATTCGATGGGGGGAAAGGTTGTACGAAGGGGCATGGACGCTCTCTTAAATTCCAATCTTGCGCCATGGGAGCTTATACGGTGACCCAAGGCTTGCTTGCGCCGAGTCTTGGACTTGAACATTTAACCAATCCACGTTGTTCCTAAATTCCCCGATACACGGGCGAGGACTGAGCCTTTTAGCTCTATGAGCTTTCCACAAGTGGGACTGTGAGATGAACCTTCTTTTGACACCACCCCCCTGCGTAAATCACCGATCCATATTAGCACACCATAGAGCCGATAAATATAGTGACGGCGAAGTGTGCATCTTATTTCTCAGTGATATACCATGCAAGAGCCATATGGATGATGGTCTTGCGGCTTCGTCCGATCCCAACAATGAAGCAATGCCGCCAAACGGATCGAATAATTTTAGAGTCCTGCGAGTCATGCGAGTCATGCTTGAATGGTTAATAGACGATGACGCCGGAAATTGCAGATATATGCCTCACTAAGACACGAAGGATCCCGAACTGCTTGGCATGGTCCTCACAGGTCTTCTCCGCGGCATCATCACCATCACCAGAGCCACGAGGGAGGGATAGCCCTAGCGAGTTTGGGTGATCGGCAATGTATCAAACACACGCTAAGCACGAGTAGTATTGGTCGGGCCAATCAATGGCTTCCCCATGTCACATCAATGGCGCTCTCCAGTTTCCACCCAGGGACCACAATAGTATCCCTGCAGGCCATACCTTACATGGGTATATGCCCCGTACCTTAATTGTGGAAATTTCCTCTTTCCCCGCCCTTCGGGTGGTTTCCGAAACCTATAAAGTTCTACCACCGCGGAGAGACCGACAGCCCTTGGCACTTGGAGTACATTGTGTGGAAAGTCGACATCTGATGAAGACGCTGCACAGAAAAATGTTGAGCTGTAAGCGGCATTTCAATAACTTTGGAAGGCCGCAGGTCTCATTTCAAATCAATTTTGGGAAATGTGTGCCGCTGTGTGGTATGGGATCGTGTCCTGTTGACCAAGACCGCAAAAGCACCGGCGATGCCGTCAAATGAAAAACAAGGTAAGTGTGTGGACTCGGGATCCAAGCTCTCTTGGCGCTGTTTCTTGGGCCTTGGCTTGTCTTGGTATATCACCGCTAGGCGACTCGGTCCCGAGAAAGGAGAGAGAGATACTGGCCCCCAGATTGGCTTTGATATTTCCAACTCCGGTTTCCCCCACAGGTTTCCCCGCATCTTGCTAGGTGTTCCAAGCAGAGACAGCGCTAAACCCGAAAGGGGCCCAACTGAAGTGTCATTCATGTATGTGTTATTATAAGGTACGAGGCAAGGAAAGCTATCCAGGAAAACCGGTCCGGTAAAACAATCCAGCCTTTTGTGGAACAAGTGTACTATATAAAAGGAGTGAGCATTCTTTGAAAGGATAAATATACCGCATTTGCTCGAGAACATGCATTTTAGGAAAAGACTGAAATAATATATATCCAAGACGCCACTTGCGTAGTCAGGCCATATGATCCAGACCCCAAGAGTTCAAAGTTGAGATAGAAGCGACAAGGACTCAGCCGCAGCTTGTGACTGAAAGAGTACGGGGTGGGCCAAACGGGTTGTCCGATTGGGCAAAGTTGCAGGGGCGTGGACCCGAGGGTGATGCCCACCGGACGAGAGGAAGATGTGACGGGTTATGGCAAACTCAGGACAAAACTAACCCGGAAAGGAAATCTATAGGTCCTTTACAATATAAAAGTGACTTTTCTCACTATGTATATGTAGCTATTTCTGTATTCCACCCTCCTCTTAACTGATCTCTGGCTTTTACATATACCTGGCCTGGAGAGCTTCGGACTGATCGGCTAAACATGCTCGCGCTAAGGCATATAGTGTCCAATAGCGCAAAGCCCCCGTCGAATCAAAACAAAGAATCGGCATCATATCACAATGAGATAGATCTGGATCTCGATCAACAATTAAAAGACCAATGAAAATATGGAACCGGGATCCTTTCCATATTATAGCTCATTATGTGGGACGATTGATGAATCTCATTATGAACACGAATACTGTGTTCTGTGACTTATAAATCTATAACCGCCCCACAAATTAGTTTTTCTTTACCTCAATAATCATCGCATTTGACCATGACAAGAGAATCTAAGCTTATTACTGTCATTGGAGCGACGGGTATCCAGGGAGGGTCAGTCATTGCAGCTGCCCTGAAGTCTGGTGACTGGAAGATCCGCGGAGTTACTCGCAATGTCAACAGCGACGCATCCAAGGCATTGGCTTCAAAAGGAGTCGAGATGGTGACTGCAGATTGGAACGATGAGAGCGCTTTAGTGAAGGCATTCGAGGTAAGATTCTTGATACCATAAGAATTTTTAGCTAACCCGGAAAAAGGGCTCGTATGCCATTTATGCCGTTACCGATTACTGGGCTGGGTTCATGACCCAGAGCGTCCAAGAACTGATTGAGATTGAAGCTAGGCAAGGCATAAACCTTGCTAAGGCAGCTTCCCAGACTCCCTCTCTGAAGCACTTTGTATGGAGTACTATTCCCGACCATGTGAAGATCTCGGGCGGCAAACATTCTATACCTCACTTTGAAGGAAAACTCAAGGTCGATGAATTTATCAGACAAGACAAAGAACTACTCAGCAAGACTACCTTCCTTTGGGTCGGATACTACGGGACAAACATCGTTCTGCCTATGATTGTCCCAAATCTTCTCGTAGGTTTTCAACCCTCAACATAGGAGTTACTTACTGATCTATGCAGAAAACATGCGGAAAATATGTCCAACTTTTCCCGGTCTCAGACGACACGCCTATCACAACAGTGGGAGATCCCAAAGTCAACACTGGAATCTATGCACTCGCCATCTTCAGCCAACCCCAACTCACAATTGGCAGAATTGTCCTAGCGCAATCTGAGACCAAAACGACCCGCGAAATTATCAATCTGTGGTCCCAGATTTCAGGAAAGCCTGCTGACTATATCCAAGTTCCACTTGATCACTATGATAATCTATGGCCCAAGTGGGGACGAGAGATTGGCCTGATGTTGCAATTCTGGGAGACAGCTCGGGAAAAGAGCTGGACCGCCGATGAGCCCGTTCTAACAAAGGAAGATTTGAATATTTCCGGTTTGATTGGGATGAAGGAGATTTTCAGTGCTCTTGAGTGGTCTTGAATTTTGTATTTTTCCCATAGAGTTAAGACATTCATTTCTCCTACGGATTTCAAACAGAAGGCTTTCTGAAAAGTTGGATCTAATATTCCAGCACTAATCAAGTCTACCCGTGACTCAGTAACATTGGTAGCTTCTTCGGGTTGGACAGTTTCGGGATACTGTGCAGTCACCATTGCCTCGTTCGTCTTTGCAATGATCACACCTTGCTTGCCCTATAACAAGTTTGTTATTGCGAGATAAAACAAACGCATGGTAGCTAGAACTTACACTCTCTATACATGCTCCGATCATCTGTGTTTATAGCTAAATATTTGTGTTCTCCTACGTAGAATCCCTCCGACAGGGAACGTGGGTCGATATAGGCCGTAACAAGAGCTTGGACTTGATTGTGCTCGATCTATACTTAATCATACTAGTAAACCATAGTCTTACGATGGCATATTCGGCAAATCTTGTGTTAAATCCTGTACTAGCTGCCTAAGCAGGACCTCCCGTTGTACTGTATACTGCAGCTGTGTCGATTTTTTTCAGACCCTATCAGAGTTTGATCGACGTAGCCTGTAGTCATAAAATTAACTCATATGTCGACATAAGTTGAAGTAGCAAGTCAGTACCTTGCCAGCTCATTTCGGGTGTGAAATTATTATCAGAAATAGAATAAATAGATAATCAAGTTGAATGAAAGTTACAATCGCTAAAATAGCCGATATGGAGGCTACCTGATCTATGGCTAGAACATTCTTGTAAGCAAAGATCCTCACAATCACGCTAGATCATTTCATTTCTTAGGAGCTAATATCCTATGCTAATTAAATAATTTGCCAGCTGTCCAACAATGCTTGCAGCCTCTCTCGGTTGCACTGTCTCGGGATAATGTGCGATAACTATTGATTGCGATGATTTCACCACACAAACACCCTCTTCGCCCTAATATTTTGACAATTAGCAGGCCATTAGCTATTGTGGCAATTGAAATGTCTTACCTTCTCGGCATATATGCTTTGCTCATCTGCTTTGGTAACCATAAGCTTTTCCCCTGCGACATAGAGCCCGCCAGAGTATAGAGGGATTGAATCCTCGAAGCCTCTCAACATATACTGAACCTCTCCTAGTTGAACCTATTGGAACAAGTTTTAGCGGCAACTTCAAACCGGTTAGAGTCGAAAAACTTACATTGAATCCTGTAGTTGTTGCAAGTAGAGCATCGCCTGCTGCTGAGAATATAGCGGCTTTGTCGATTTTTTTAGATCCCACCAGGGTTTGATCAACCCAGCCTACCGTAAGATTAGTTTTGGTGTGTTTATTTGTGCCAATATGCATACCTTGCCAGCTCATCTTGAAAATAAGTATAAATAGACTTGGGAATCTAGGTCGGGGAAAACAGCAAAAGGTGGGTTTTAGTGGCTTGAGGGGTAATCCTTTAATCGAAAGATTTTGAGCCAATGGCAAACTGTAAAGGTCAGGTTTGATCTCCACTGTATCTTACATTTGATCCCTAGACTTAGGGCTAATGTGATTTCCTGAGGAATTTCTTCTAAAACAAGATAGATTGACTTTTCGTTCAATGTAAATACTTTTCTAAGATAAATCTTAAAACATACAAAAGAATCCAAGCAATAGAAACTGTATATTACTATTAGTATATTTAAAAAGCAGATTTGATAAAGTAGACAAAAATCTCGAAATGACCAACCAACCGTTCGTCTTTAATCCTTAGGCCGTGTTAATAAAAGCAAAAGAAGAAATTCCAAGCGGGGTATAGGCCAGGCATTCACAAAAATACCCAATATACCATGAGGTCTCTCTGATCCCCACCACGAGGACCAGAGAGGTCAGGAACCGAGAGGGATCCGGATCTCAATCAAGAGATGGGTCGGGCGTCAAGGCTACTCAACTGATTTACAGGAGAGCCATGAGACCAACAACACCGGCAAGGAGACCAGCAACGGGCTGGACGGTGGAGGCGGCACCGGTGAAGTCATTGGAGGTGGGAGTGGAGCCGTGCTGCTTAGGGGTAGAGGGCTTCTCAGGGGTCTCCGGGGTGGAGGGGGTAGAGGTGCCGGAGGGGTGACCAGCGGGTTTGGTCTCCTTGGGGCTGGAGGGCTTGCTCTCGGCAGGCTTGGAAGCAGCAGGCTTGGAAGCAGCAGGCTGGGACTGAGCAGGGACACCGGGGTGAGACTGAGCAGGGACACCAGGCTGAGACTGAGCAGGGACACCGGGCTGGGACTTAGCGGGGACAGCGGGCTGGGATTGAGCAGGGACACCGGGGTGAGACTGAGCGGGGACACCAGGCTGGGACTGAGCAGGGACAGCGGGGTGGGACTGAGCGGGGACACCGGGCTGGGATTGGGCAGGGACACCGGGCTGGGATTGAGCAGGGACAACGGGGTGGGAGACAGCGGGCTTGGTCTCGACGGGCTTGGTCTCAACGGGCTTGGTCTCGACGGGCTTGGTCTCAACGGGCTTGGTCTCAACGGGCTTGGTCTCAACGGGCTTGGTCTCGACGGGCTTGGTCTCGACGGGCTTGGTCTCAACGGGCTTGGTCTCAACGGGCTTGGTCTCAACGGGCTTGGTCTCAACAGACTTGGAGGGGATCACAACAGGTCCAGTGGGCTTCACAACGGGGGCGGTAGGGCCTCCGGTGGCGGGCTGAGTGGCGTTGTGGAAGGTCAAAGGCTTCTCCTCGGTGCGGACAGTAGTCTTGGAGATGGTGATGGTGCTTGTTCCGGTGACGGGGACGGTCCAAGTCTTAGAGCCAGAGGTGACGGTAGACGAGGTGACTAGAAGTATTGTTAAGAATGTGTTTCAAGTTGTATTATTTGGTGAAATTATAGCGCTTACCAGGGTAGGTGGTGGTCACGTAAGTGAGGGTCTTGGTGGTGCCAGGCTTCACGGGGACGTGGGGCTTGGTGGTGGTGGCAGGGTGCACAGGGATGGTGGTTCCGTTCACCACAGTGGAGGTGTGCTCCGGCACCGGGGTGGTGCAGGGGATGGTGGTTCCGTTCACCACAGTAGAGCTGTACACTGGCACCGAGGTGGTGGTAGGGTGCACCGGGGTGGTGCAGGGGATGGTGGTCCCGTTCACCACAGTGGAGCTATGGTCCGGCACCGGGGTGGTGGTAGGGTGCACCAGGGTAGTAGTAGGGTGCACCGGGGTGGTGCAGGGGATGGTGGTTCCGTTCACCACAGTGGAGCTGTACTGGGGCACCGAACTGGTGGTAGGGTGCACCGGGGTGGTGCAAGGAATGGTGGTTCCGTTCACCACAGTGGAGCTGAATTCCGGCACCGAACTGGTGGTGCTATGGCTGTGCACTGGGGTGGTGGTGATATGGCTGTGCACCGGGGTGGTGGTGATATGGCTGTGCACCGGGGTGGTGGTATGGCTGTGCACCGGGGTGGTGGTGTGCTCATGCACCGGGGTGGTGGTGGTCGAGGTGGTGCACGGGGTGGTCCACGACTCAGTGGTCTTGCTCCAGGAGTCGTGAGTTGAGACGTGCTCGGCTGGCTTGGACCAGCTCTCACCCCAACCCTCAGCCTTAGCAGGGGCAGCAACAGCAGCAGAGGACTGAGCGGAAGGACGGATGAATTCCCCGCTACGAGCCTGCATAAGACCGGCAAAGGCCGGGCTGGCAAGAGCCAGAAGAGCAACAGAGTTGACCATTTCAAGAAATCAAAGTCTTAACAAACAAACTTGGAAAGATAACGAATGAAGAGATGATGATAGAAAGTCTGAATAATGGACAGAGATGAACGATCTTATATGGCCTGTTTGAGATGACTGGTTCCAAGTCATGACGGATATGGGTGCCACGGTCGTGTCTAGGACAGAAAGATAGACCTGATTCGCAATGTCACCATACGAGGCCGGATGCAGGTACTAGGATAGCTCAACCACAGATGGCAAAGGTACAGATGTAAGGCCATTGGATAAAAATTTGTGCAATGATACATTCATATGGCGAACCCAGATGCAAACGTGACAGACTGTAGTATCATTGGGGTGAGTAGTGGAGGAGGTCTCCAACTTCATCCACTAGAGTAACCTATTGCGGAAATATATGAAGAGCTTGGCAATTGCCGGAGTCTCTCACAATTTGCAAAAATAGAGTGAATTACTGGCGTAACTGCAAATTGCTTCATTTCGATGGAAAAGATTGCGTAATTATTGTTTGAAGAGAATGCGTATGTTGGATTATATGGCAAGAATAAGGGCGATTCTGCATGCCCGGTATTAACAGCGCAGTAGCCATAATACCTCTGGTCCCGGAGGTAGTCAACAGTGGGATGGATGGGCGATCATATTTGAACGGGACCACAATTGATATGACAAGGCTCCTCTGATTGGGGGTGGAAAATCCATGGAGACGCATGGGCTTGCAGCGAAAACACTAAACAAGCCGATCAGAAGCAGCCAAAAATCCTCAAGCACGAATAGGGCTGTTTCCTTGGCTCTCTGGAATGTGGGAATGGGATCCGACTGAGTGCAGGGGCGTTCCATTGGTAGGTGTCCTTTGAAAGAATGTACGCGTGAACCCGAAGTATTCCCGGAGCAAGACGATCCCAGCAGGCTCACAAAGTATCCTTCTTGAGGGATTTATCCGGATGTGACCCATCGTGGCATGGACCACTGTAATCAATGACGGGGACATCTCAATCTAGCATTGGACTAGCCCAAGTTCCCACTACGCGACGATGGAGCTTTTGCCGGAAGGTAACAATGGGGTTCCCGTCAGAATTTGATATTGGAGAAGGCCTGAACCAATCCCAGAAGGTGATATCAGCAGCCTGCACGCTCGTAATTTCTTGGAACAGCACCCCTGGAGGGAAGTCTAGAAGTGTCATCCAGGGATCCTGGTGCACGAGAGGTACAGAAGTGGGGTACAGCAGAGATTTTGGCCGCAAGCGGCAAGGGGACAAACTTAGCCCCTCAACATCTTGCGGTTGGGTCTGTAACTGACTCTCCCTAGTAAAAGTGAGGAATAGTGTCGAAGCAACCCATCTGTTTTCGGTCATAGATAGGATTCCAGATTTGGACAGCACGTGATATAGGGCTTAGGGCAGACGCGTGCACGGGGCATCGCGCGTCGCGCGTCGCGCCTTCCTGTTTAGGTTCAATTAAGCCCGGAGAACCTCGAGAAGAGCATTTGCTTTGCTCATCACCAGACTCGCCCACAATGCCTCACTCTGTGCCATCTGGTTCTGCGCAGAATGATGATGAAATGCCGGATGCCCCCCCGGTCGAGACCTCGACTGAAACTAATGTCAGACTCGAGGATATGTTCAATGGCGATGATGACGATGACGAGGAGTTTCCGGCTTCTGGAGATGTGAAGATGGAATCTCCAGCTGCAAAGGAAGAGTGGGTACTCAAATCGCCTACAGTGACCTTCTACTTGACGGCTGACTGAAGGCTCGCAATAGGCCCCCAGCACCGACACCCTCGGGCGTGGACTCGGATATCATGCTCGCCTTCTATCAACGACTTTTCCCCTTTCGATACCTTTTCCAATGGTTGAATCATGGAATTATACCGACGAAAGACTTCGGCAACCGAGAATTTGCACTGACACTGCAAAATGACGCCTATCTCCGATACCAATCATATCCAACTGCTGACCTGTAAGACTTGTTTCAACCTTTTATTATCAAATCCCTTTTAAGCTAACACATGCCCAGGTTCCGGAAAGACATACTTAAGATGAACCCTTCTCGTTTCGAAATCGGACCTGTCTACAGCACCAACCCGCGCGATCGCAAAACGCTGCGAGGCGGCCAAATGAAGCCAGTCTCTAAGGAATTGGTTTTCGATATTGATTTGACTGATTATGATGACATCCGTACATGCTGTGTCAAAGCGAATATTTGCGCGAAGTGCTGGTCATTTGTGACAATGTCAATCAAGGTTATTGACACTACCCTACGGGAGGACTTCGGGTTTGAACACATCCTTTGGGTTTACTCGGGTCGTCGTGGTGCCCACGCCTGGGTGTGTGATCCCCGAGCACGGAATCTACCGGATGATCGACGCCGAGCCATAGCTGGCTATCTTGAGATGATTCGGGGAGGGTCACAAAGCGGGAAGAAAGTCAACATCAAACGACCACTACACCCTCATATTGTACGCAGTCTTGAATTGCTAAAGCACGACTTTGCTCGGACCACACTCATTGACCAAGACACATTTGAATCCGCCGAGCAGGCAGAACGCCTTCTATCCTTGTTACCCGACAAGACATTGAACGAATCCCTACGGAAGAAATGGGAGTCCTCTCCAGACCGTGCCAGCACCAGCAAATGGGCTGATATCGATTCACTTGCAAAGTCTGGTAAGAGCAGTACGCTAAACCCGGCGACGCTCCGAGATGCCAAGCAAGATATTGTCCTGGAATATACCTACCCACGCCTAGATGCTGAGGTCAGCAAGAAGATGATTCACTTGCTCAAGAGTCCCTTTGTTATTCACCCCGGCACTGGTCGTATTTGTGTTCCCATCGATCCTCGCAATGCCGAAACCTTCGATCCTCTCACCGTCCCGACGGTAATGAGCCTCCTGGCCGAGATTGATGAATATGACGCGAAACACCCTGCCGCCACAGCGGAGGCAGATATCCCTGATGTTGAAGGTAATGCAATGAATGGCTCCGACATGAAGGGTGGCCGTAAGGTGCAGGACTATGAAAAGACTAGCCTGAAACCTTATATCGATTTCTTCCGTTCCTTCATCGCAGGCCTCATCAAGGAAGAGCGTGCTGGCAAGCGTGAACGCGATGACAGTGGCCCTGCTGTCAAGGCTGATCCTATGGAATTTTAGCCCCGCCATGTTCATGTTTGTTCCCTTTGCCTAGCTTCCCTCATAGGATTATGACTTTATGCTTTGTTAATCAGTTCCACCGATTTCATTTTGGACTTATATCAAGGGATTCCCCTTTCGAGGAGTTTGGGTTTATTGTGCATGGAACCGAGTTACTTGATTCTACATTTACCACATATCTTGTTCTCATTCAAATCTATACGTTGAATAACGATAATCACTCTGCTGTGGAACTTATCAACCTGCGAGACGTACAAATTAAGCTGGAGGTAAGAGTATAGTCACGTAGTAACTAAGTGAAGTGATTGTATATTGGAAATATTGGTACAAATAGAGTCGCACAAGTAGTTGCATTAAAGCTAACCATGATATGGAGGCACGAGGGTGGTATCTCCATATCAGGCAGACTTCTTATTATCAAATGGCACCTTCGACAGAATTAAGAGGAAATGAGCCGGAGATTAAATGGGGTTGTTAATTTAAGCACCAATGAAGTTCTTGACAGCTAAAGGAGAAAGGCATTGTTAGCACGAGTCACAGAAGCATTTATAGGCAGGGAAACATACTCTCCAACCAGCGCAAGTACTCCTTCTGCTCCTTGACGGAGATGTAGTCAGGAACCATATTAGCGAACTCGGCGTTAAGGCCGCGGTCCTCGAGGTAGCGGTCCCAGAGACCCTGAAGGTCCTCATCGAGGTTCTCGAAGGGAGGACCGGCATAGAGGCTCTGGCGAGCCCAGTCCTTCTCAGCAGTCAGGGACTGAGCGAGCTCAGCCTTGGCGAAGTGGGAGACCTCCTCGATCTGGAACACACCGTCCTGGACAACGGTCTGGATCAGAAGGGCACCGTTGTTGGGCTTCTCAACGGTGATGGTAACACGGGCAGGGAAGCTGGGCTCCGGCTGCTCGATATCCTCCTCAGCGGAGGCCTCGGCATCCTGACTGCGGGACTGGTTCTGGAAGTCCATCTCGTCGGTCAGGGAGGCGTCGTCAAAGTCCTCCTGTTCGCTGATGTTCTGGATATCGGCGACGGTAAAGCTGACACGGATGCTAAACAATCACATATGTTAGCATTCATCATCGACATTGGAACAAAAAGAAAAGCTGGAATGGGGTTATATGAATCGTACTTCTCGGTGCCAAACTTCTTGGTGAGGATAACCTCCTGGTCACCCGCAACATCCTTCACCTGCCACTCGCCGTGCTTAATAGTCTCCTCGATGGCTTCGAGTTGCTCCTCAAATTCGGGGATTTCGGAAGACTTCTCGTGCTTGAGCTCATCCTCGAGCTTGGCGAGAAGCTCGATGTCGACTGTAAAAGAAAATCCAAAATTAACGCCAGGCCACATACAGAGTCCGCCACCAGACAGCATCGGATTTCGGCGGACACTTCTAAATATAATTTAATGTATCTTACCTTCGGATGAAGGAGCCTTGAACATGCTAGAGGTTGAGAAGGCAGCGTAGGCGGGCTTAGTGGCCGGCTTCCAGGATTGCTGCAGAGCGAGCTTGGGGAATGCTGGGCGCATAGCCGAAGTAGCAATGGAGCGCGAGAAAGTGCGCGGGATAGAGCGGGTGATGGTGCGAAGAGAAAGCATTGTGAATGTGGATGGTCTAAAGTTGATGAAGATGAGAGCTTGGGGAAAAAGTAAATGAGCTAAGTAATTACGAGTGCCAAGACCGGCGGTTCTGTTGTGGCCGACTTTGCGCGACCACGCAATGCGATTCAATATTGAACAAAAGGCATATGTAACTCTAATGGACTTACATTGAAGATGACAATGGGTGATTTGGGCTAATTGGAATTCATATCATGATTCGCTCTACTTTGCGTGCTCAAACGGCTGGATGAA